TTTCTAAATTGTGTTTTTTCTAAACTTAAAAATCAAAGAGCTCTCGAGCAACTGACTTCAAAACTTTTTGTAAATTCACATTGGAGCCTAAAGCTGGTCTTGGTTTCATTGAAGGTGATTTATTTGCTACTTTGCTCTTTGATTCATTGTCCTCAACCCCTCTACCTCCTCTCTTCGATTATAATTGAAGTTTCGGCAATACTTTTTCTTCCCAGGGAAGGAGTAAAATTTTCACAGATTGAGCCACATATGTGGAGATTGGAAACATGATATAGTACATCCCAACGCGGCCTGCAATCTCCGACATCATCAACATCGTTCCAAGCTGATTCTCGGTGACGGTTACTTGCACCTGGTGTTGTACATTGAACTTTCTTCTCAAATAGAGAGAAACAAGTTGGTGATTGAAGACTAAAAGTATTGAGCGAATGAATCAGTTATCGCTGTTGACTTTAGCTGACAAAAAAGATAAAAACGACTTATAATTAAGATTGAGGGGTATCTTCAATTCAAGTCTGTGGGTTTTAACAATCAGAATAAAAGTTCCTTGAAACACTGTAGTTGTGATCGAACAGATGCTAGCTGCTTTTCATAGTTTTTTTATTCCAGACTTAGTGTTCTAAATAAATAATTTTGTACACATTGATTGTCGTTTCCAATCAGAAAAACTATCCATTTATGTTATGTTTATAGGTTTTCGTATCAAATTAGATGAAAATATACTTTTTCAGGGATTACAAATTCTAAACAAATAGCGTTAAAAAAAACTGCAACAATGAAAGACAACCAGTTGTTTGCTGTAAAAATTAGAAAAATCAAAACGAAACGAAGGAACGGAGATTTGTGCTGGGTATTTTTTGACAAATATGGATTTTGGGTACAGGACTTGAAAATTTTATCATAAGACTTTTCGATTTATCTCAACTTGTTTGGAATAAAAGTTTTTTTTTCTTTGTCATGCATATTTCAGACATAATTGTAAAGCCTGTATACGCAATATTTGGTCCAAAATTATAATCTCTGATTGAGCAGATGTCATCAGAAGACCCTTAGCTTATCTGAGAATTCTAATTTGGACATCAGAAAAACTCAAAAATTTGTTAAAAAAAGTAAGAATCTGCATCTATTTTTTAAAAATGAAGTCACTTCTAGTCTTTTTCAGATGATTTTGGGAACTTATGAGTGTTTTTGTAAGAAAAACTTCAAATAATAATTATATTTCATCTTTATTTAAATCAACAAATTGCTGAGTTTTGGTTGGTTGATTTCTAAATTACACCACAATAAGCAAATTGAGTAGGCAATCAAGTCAATTTTATGAAAATAATGACGTCATTTCATAAAAGGAAATCTGCGTGTGTGCCGGTTTGATTTGTATGGAAAATTTATGGCAAGACCACCAAAAAAAAGTTGCGTAGACAATGGAGTCAAGGCTGAATTGAATACGCTTGTTTCAACGGACAAAGTCAATCATTTTGTTTAACAATCAGAAAACATTCAATTGATTCTTACGATTCGTTACATCACGAATGAAAAATTAAGTTAACTATTATATTTTTCCAATCACAATTCTTACTTTAGTTTACTAAATTTATATATTTTTTTTGAAAACCCAGATAATATTGTTCAATATTTTTAACCATGCTCGCCCTAATCGAGGTGACAAAGTCAAAAATGAGTACTGTGGTCAACCTTATAAGCGAGATCATGCCTCGAAAAATTAGAATAAATATAACAAAAAATGAAACTTGAATGTCTAAACTGTCATTTCTATACAAGTAAAAAAGAGGCGATGAACTATCATCTTGCTCAGAAGCATGCACCTTCAAGCTCCAAGCAGTTTGCTCTTCGACGGTTTTCGATTCGTGTCAGAAGGACTTTTCAAGTTACTATTCTCTCTGGCAACATCAAATCAACATTATAGTGCAAAACAACGTGACAACAAAGATCTGCAGGATTTGATGTGGAGGAAGAAGGAGAGAAAGGTGAAGACTTGAAGGAAAAATTTAGCACTTGCCAACCTTTTCTAGTGAATGATGAGATGGAAAATGGTAAACATAAAGTTTTCAACTTTTAATTGTAGATACCAAAGTTATCAACCAGAATTTTGCAGAAGTATTCTGCCGCTTAAGCTCGACTCTGCCGCAAAATTAAAATTGAAGTTTTGAGAAAAAAGAATATCGATATTTAGTTTACCATGAACACCATACTTTGTCTGAAAAATCTCCTTTAATGTGTACTAAAGCAGATTTGAATACAATCCAAAGGATAGGAGAAGAATTTTATAGTGTGGAACATACTTCAATAAATTTGACAGTTTTAACAAACATCTCCTGAAATACAAAATGCGAGTGAAACGCGTCTCCCCGAGAATCTGTATTTAACTTCGAGAAAACTTGTTTGAAAAGCTAGAAGAACTGAATTTTCCAGTTTCTAAAGATTACAAATTCTTCAAAAGACCTCCATTGTCTCTTCAAAAGTAAGTGCCTCAGAAGTTTTCAATTGCATTTCTCGACTTTGAGTCCATTTGCGTTCCTAAAAAAAGATGAAAAGAGACACAAACTACAACCTGGCTTGGAAATTTTTTTAAGTCTCATTATCATGAAATCTAAACAAGAAGATTTTTTGTACAATAAGGATCCACAGAATTTTGTTTTATGAGTTTGTAATTAACTTCGAACTGTTGGTTCAAAAAAATTAGTCTAGAATTGAAAAAAAAAGGTTCAAGGTTTCCAAATGGGTGCAAATGAACGAATGAAAAAGGTCTTTGATCACTTAAACGAGAGAGGCAGCATTTTTTAGAGACAAGGAGTACAAGGAAGAATCATTTATTTTGAGCAAAAAAACGGATCATCAGTAATCAGAAAAGCAAATAATTCTACTAATTCTATATCTTTCAAGTCTGGAAATTTCTAAGGGTAGCAGCAATTCTAGACTGCTTTCCTCCAGCCTATAAGTGTAGGGGACGAGAAGGAATTTTATGTGGGTCGAGTGTTATATCATGTTAAACCCTTTCAGTCGTGGTTTGAACGTTTACAAAAGCAAATTTTACCTTATTTCATTGTTACTCAAGTAACCTTAGTTTTTATGTGCCAGTTTATCAATCAAAAGTTTTTTTAAAAATTACTTTTGATTTTTTAATATTTTTTTTCTAGTCATTTTCCTAAAAAATCAAAGTAAGTAACCTTGGTTTCAAGCACAATATGGGCAATTGATGTTTCAGTCGTGTTTCGATAACCCAGACAAGCTTGATTTTCCAGTACTGACAACATATGAAAAAAATTTCTATAATCTGAGAAAAAAAAAACAAATTTCAAGACAAAAATTGAAATGACTATGAAAAGTAAAAAGTGGGCTTGATGAGCAAAAAACCATGAAAAACTTTCAAACCAGGATTAGGCCCCATTTCGCAGGGAATTGACAACTACTCATTGCAAAAAACAAATGCAATTTTTTTATTTTAGTTGAACTCTGCAGGGACTTGAATAAAGGTAATAAAGTGCACAAGAATCAACGCAGTTTGAGGT